CCTTGCCCTCGCCCAGGAGGACGGCCGGGTCCCCGCTCGTCGACGCCTCGCCCGCCCCGCAACGCGAAAATCACCAAAATAATGTCTTCGTCCCTTTTGGAACGGACTCACCAAAACTTTAGCGGAGCGGGGGCAGTCGGTAGCTGGCCTCGGCGGTCCCTTCGGACTCACACAAAAATGACCCTGGATATCGCAGCGGTCTTACTAGTCGAAGGTCGAGTCATCGATGCTTCGCCTTCCTGTTCTCGGCTCTACGGATAGCGCGTCCTTCACACTAGATTCCGTGTTATTGGCGAGGTTGGCGACAAAAGCTCTCGAACGGTCGTTGTCGTCCCGTTTTATTTTTGGTGTTTAAACCAGCTTCCGACAGCTCTTGGGCGCTCATTGGCGGGATATTTCCCCCATTTCCCGATCTCTGACTCTAGACAGCTGTTTTCGGTACGTCAGTCTTTGGAGCTTCCTTGTCAGTCCGACCTTGGCTTAAGCTCCTTTGCGGCAGCCGTTGTTTACGTTGATCCACGAGCCTTGCGGCGTCCTCGCTCGGATCGGAGGACGCTCCGGGTCGCGGAGGATGTGCCCGCCGGCTTTTCTCTGGCAGCAGCTATCCTCCGCTCGTCCGCGGTGTCGATCCAATCCGTCCTCGCGGCTTCCTGGCGACAGCCTGTGATCGCTCCACTTCGGCAGCTTCGCCTCGACGTTCAGGATGTTGCTGAAACAGGTCTGTGTTAAGTTTCCCACCCTGTGGGTCCCTATAGAGTCATATTATTGACGGAAGCGGAGTAGGTCCTCCGGCCGTTCATCTCGCAAGCTCTTCCTCTCCCACGGCGGCAGCAGTCCTCATGGTGGCCTTCTTCTACCTGACTCAACCTCGATGACCGTATTTATACACAAAAAATGATTCGAGGGCTGCGTAGGCTCGCGTCCTAAACGCCTTACGGCTAGGACGCGACATCCGCCTGCAGCCGGGAAGCTCATAATGCTTCCTTAGTATAGTCTACTAGTGACGGACGATATTTACTAATCATCACGTCACAAACTATAGTTCATATTATGTACATTCTGTCAAATAAATATCGGGAATTGTTCAATAAAACACAAAATATTGGTTTAATCATCCAAGTTTATTTTGTTGCCTTCAAAATAGACCCCATTTGATGCGATACACTTATGCCAACAAATAATACTGTCCTCGAAATATTTCCCAGACAGCACAATGTCCAAAATCGGGTCATAAGACGTCTTTAAGACATCTTTAAGACACCTTTAAAACAAGTTTATCAGGTATTGTCTTAAAGATGCCTTAAAGACGCCCTAAAGACGTCTTATGACTCGATTTTGAACATTGGTGCTGTCTGGGTTCTTATAAGCATTTTCCGGTATGGTCTGCAGCTTCTTCTGCGAATTTTGTTTCATGGCTTCAATAGATTCAAAACGTCTTCTACGAAGTGGTAATTTGGGCAACAGGAAAAAGTCAAATAATCGGGACCATATCTGACGAATACGATGCTTGATGATTGAAAACTCAACGATAATATTCGTTGAGTTTTTAGTCAAAAATTCGCATATAAGGGTCGATGTATGGGATGGCGCATTATCGTGATGCAAAATCCAAATCATACCGCGACGCGTCTCATGCCCAAAACATGAATTAAAATGATGCGAACGGATTCGTTAAACATATCCAGATTCTAAGCCATCTCTTTTAAGCTTGAATGACTTGATTTTCCATCACCATTTCTTTCATTTTGTCGGTTTTCGTCAGTCGAAGATGTTGAAGGTCGACCGGAACACTTTCAACGACTCAGCACAAGAAATTTCGTTGGCAATACAAAATTCGATGCAAATTCTTTGTTCAATATTTTTATTCAATTTAAAAATCGCAGAATACACTTGAGGTCGACTAACAAAACTAATAGCTGTAAACAAACTGGTTGATAGATGGCGCCAAAACTATATGTGACAATTAGGTACATTAGATACATACAACTTAAAGCAAAAAATTTGTTTTCATAACTTTTACGCGGGCTTTTGAAATGAACAATTCCCGGTATCAAGCGACACGGTAGTGTCGCGAAACCAAGTGCAAGCGCGAAACAACGCGGGCCTACCGTGTATAATTACGCGACAGCTTAGTTGAATGTAAGTTAGATTCTTATTTTGGTTATAACGGCTGAATTGACGAAGTTCTGGAGGAACTTAATCGATTCCTTGTGTTTACATTACATAAAACTGTCTTTACTTTTTCTTTATGTGCTTCAGAAGCTAAGCTATCTTAGCTCAAAGTCTGAAATCATGAATTTACGCGTAAGAAACATCATCTCCTTACTACAGAAACGTCGTCTGCTCACCACAGAAATGTCCGTTGACTATGTTTCTCCGTTAGATGGCAGGAGTGAGAGTGTTACGATTACCGAGGCTGCGTTCCAAAATTACTGTTAATACTGAAAATCTACAGTATACATGACATAAATTATATATTTTCAGTACTGGAAGTGAATATCGGAACAGCCCGATTTATCGACTTGTAGCTGTCATCGCGGCGATGTCAAGTGACAGTTCGCGTGTACGAGAATGGGGTTATAATGAGGTTAGGTTATTTTTAATGTATAATAGTTGTAAAAGTTGCGAAGTGTGTTTACTGTGATAATTTGAAGAAAAGTTATGGAGTTAAGGATAATCAGATAAGTATCGGCGAATACATAAAAATATATAAGGATGTAAAACTTAAATACTTTGTGTCGTTTTTACTTTTCATAACTAAATTAAATAATAAAGAGATAAAAAAGGAAGAAAAAGAAAAAGAGAAGAAAAAAATAGAAAAAGGAGAGAATGTGCGAGAAGAAATAAAGAGGGCACAGAAAAAATGAAGATAAATGATAAGACGGTACAAAACCATAAGAGAGCGAGATGGATAGACAAGAGGAATATATGAATAAGAGAATGAATAAATAAAAGGATAACTTTGAAAAAAAGCTATGAAGTTAACAAGGATAATATTATATAATATTATATCAGAGAATGCACAAAAATATATAACGATATAAAACTTGAAAACTTTGTGTCGTTTTTACTTTTTATAGCTAAATTAAATAATAAAGAGATAAAAGAAGAAGGAAAAGAAAAGGAGAAGGAAAGAAAGGCAGAAAGGAGAGAATGTGCGAGAAGAAATGAAGAGTACACAGAAAAAATGAAGATAAATGATAAGACTGTAACCGCGATGCGTCGCGTTCCGGATTACGCTCGTCGGTTCGGGTTCGTAGGAGACTGAATAATTGTTGAAGCAGTGGAATAGAAGTAAGCTTTGTCGTCTATTTAAAATTTGGTTTCTATACATTAACTTTGTACGTGTAGTAATGCATATTTTTCGTATTAATCCAGAGCTTGCACTGGAATTAACAAATATATTAAAGCCTGATCTGATCCGCCAACGTTCTACTGGTATATCTTCTAAAATACAGGTAGTTATATTAGATTTGAGGCTTTCATGCAGATTTGAGGCCATTGATGCAATCTTTATGGAACACTTTGAGAATAAAGTTTTGAGGAACGCACCACTGAAACCATCCACATGGTTTCGGTATGTGGACGATACTTTCGTAATTTGGAATCATGGCAGGGAAACTCTTTCTCAGTTTCTCGGGTTTCTCAATTCACAACATCCCAGTATTCAGTTCACAATGGAAGTGGAACAAAATAATAAAATACCCTTCCTGGATGTGCTAGTCTAAAAGAACCAAGATGGCACCTTAGGTCACCAGGTCTACCGAAAACCAACACACACGGACCGATATCTACATGCAACCTCTCATCATCATCCCTCGCAAAAGAATTCTGTCATAAGTTCATTGGTTTACAGAGCGCTCACAATTTCGGAACCATCTTCTCTGAATGGAGAACTAGAACACCTCAGTACAGCCTTAACTAAAAATGGATACAACAGCAAGAACATCTCGCAAATAATAAAAAACCAGAAGAACAGAATTGTCAGTCCTAAAAACACTGACACACTAGATGAAGAGAGAGAAAAGAGAAAAACGGCTGTCCTTCCATATCTCCAGGGCATAACAGAACCTATCAGCAGGATTTTGGGTAAACACAAAATCAAAGTAATCTTCAAACCTCATAGGAAGCTCTCCCATTTACTCCCAAATCCGAAGGATCAGAAATCATGCCTAGAAACAGGTGTTTAAACATGCCTCAGGTGTATATAAGATCCCTTGCTCTTGTGGTGAAGTTTATATAGGAGAAACCGGGAGGAAGATCAGTACGCGAATCAAGGAACACCAGCGATGTACCAAGTATGGTCACTTTACTCAATCAGCCCTAGCTGAACACTGGATGGAGACTGGACACTCCGTAAAATATGAAAAAGCCACCAGATTGGCTCCCTCACAGAGTTATTTTGCTAGAAAACATCGTGAAGGTCTAGAAATTTTGAAACATCCCAACAACCTCAACCGAGACAAAGGTATGCAAGTAAACTCTATTTGGCATGCTGCCCTCCCGGTTTTTTAATTGACCAGCTGATCAATTAAAATACGCTGATTGGCTGGATTCAAGCCTCGTCCCCTACTCCCTAAACACCATCTACACAAATGGGGGGGGGAGGGGGGCATATAAGGACTACCTTTACCCAAGGGAGCTCAGTATCAGAGTTCTCAGCCCTGAGATGCAAACTGCAACGTTTGCGAAACGTCGGCATATCGCTGATTCAAGACACGGCTCCATTCCGGAAGTTATACCTAGACAGGTAGTTATATTCTTGCGTGTCAATACTTCTTGAATCCCACTCGTACTAATAGAAGCTTCAAACTGTTTTTATTGTACTATGTTTTCTGTAGGTGTTGATAGCAGTTCAGTTTTATGCGCATGGAAGTTATCAAAGACCAACAGGGGATCAATTCAACTTCAACGTAAGCCAACCAACAGTTAGTAGATGTCTCTATGCAGTGACAGTTTCGATTAACCAGCGATTGTTGCGCCGATGGATACAATTTCCTATGACTGCGGAAACACGCCAAGTGGCACGTACTAAATTTGCTAATGCGCCACAGCCATTTGAAGGAACAATTGGAGCAATTGATTGTATCTTTATTAATATATTAGGTCCAGGAGAACATGAAGAGGCATTTGTAAATCACTATGGAAATCATTCGTTGAATGTGCAAGCTGTAACTTCACGTGTGATGCATTTTCATATGGAAAATTTTGACTCTGTTTCTAACATAATTTTATCTACTTTTAGATAGTAGATACAGACATGAAATTGCTCAACATCAATGCAAGGTGGCCAGGAGCAAGAAACGATTCCTTTATATGGAGTCACTCTCCAATCCGCCGGGCCATGCAATTTCACTACGATCGAGGCGAGCGTCGAACGTGGCTAATCGATATGTAGCAGTGATGGACACAGAAATGGAAAAAGAGTAAAAAGTTTTAAATATTCGAAATGTGTGAAATTAAACGTAGTGTAAATTTATCGATAGTGTTTGTAATAGATAATTTTACAACGCATGTTATCTGTCATATAAAAAAATATCTTAGTATGAACAAATATTTGCAAAATAAGTTGTTCTAGTTCGTTAATATTTTAGTTATTCTGAAACATGAAATATGAGGACAGCTGTCATATGTTATCATTGTACAGTTAATATTACAGTTAATACGATATAGTAATAAACAAAAAAATTATTATACCGCGTTTATCTCCATATTTTATTTTTATTCTTACTTGGTTATACTTGGATGATAAAAATGTATAATCTGTTATTAACTAGCTTCGTTTCTTAAACATGCTAGAGGCTTATTTTCTGTTTATTGTTAGACCTTACTAATTATTAGAATATGCAGCAAAAAATAGAACATCTATTCTCGCATTTGAAATTTGTAACAGGATTGTAGTCGGTCTTGTATATAGATCTGCAACTTCTCTGACACATGTTTGAAATGCATTGTCAACTGTAATATTTTATTACCACATATTGTAAAAGTTAGTAAGATAAAATAAAAAACAAACAATGAGCTTCAAGCATTATAAAAAAAAAAAACTAGTTTCGTAATAAGAATCTTTTTTAATCCTAACATATCCTAATACAAGTAAAAATGAAATGTGGAAATGAACTCATATTGTAATAAATATTATAAACTGATTTTGTATTTATTACTATATCGTATTAATTGTTTCAATGTTTGATGATAAAATATGACAGCTGTTCTTATATTTTAAATATTTATTAGAGTCGTTAAATTGTTAAAGGACTCGAACAAAAATTTTTTTCGCAAATGATATTAGGACTGACATTTTCTTTTCGACTTTTAAAACATCCTAAATTATATTTCAGAGCAAAAAAAAATGTCGATGAAAAACTATATAATGATATTGAAAAAAATTTTCATAGAGTGATCATTTCTCATTAGGTGATGCTGGGTACCCGCTGGAACCGCGGCTCATGACACCTTTGCCAAACTACCCTGAAAGAACTTGACAATTTCAGTACACAATGGATTTATGTAAAGCAAGAAATGTGGTCGAGCGGTTTTTCGGTTGTTTCAAAAGCATGTGGAGATGTCTTTCATATTAACGTGTATTGATGTATGTACAATCCGGCATTTGCCGGATATATCGTTAATGCGTGTGGTGTACTGCATAACATGCGACTCCATCATCGCCTTCCTAATGATGAATTGTACGAAGTTGGAATCAATGAAGGTATACAAATTCAAGGCATTGAGCCAGATGAAAATGAAATTATACGAGGTCCTCGGGCTCTAGCACAGCGCATTCAGAATCAAATTCTGCAAGACTGATACAGACATCTTCCTTTTGGTAACCCAGATGCCTACTGAATGTTCAAAGAAATACACTTGGAAAACAAAATATGAGACCGCTATTGTTGAGGATTTTAAAAAGGAATTATATATATTATATATATATATATATATATATATATATATATATATATAT